ACCCTTATCACTAACTGATAGCCTAATAATTTTTGATTTTATTAGCTCTCGAACCTGTCGCATACCAGATTTTTGCGTAGGAGGAGTGTCTTGTCATCACGCGTGACCTAGCGCCATACCTCAGGCTGATCCAATGATCTGACATGGACCCAGTTATCGACCATGTATTACTCTGTGCGGCGGCTATCCACCAACTAACTTAAATACTTACGACAAATAAACGGTAGGTGTTTGAATGAAGCTGTTTCTTATGCGAACACAAATCGATTTATCAAGTTTTATCTGCTAGGGTTATGAAAGTGTTTGGCTGAGTAGATCGCATCTCAATTTGACCTTTCCAGGCTCTGAGGAAGGCGAAGCCGCCGAAACGTCAGCAATTGTGTTCTAATAAATTCTATATTAACAACCTCGTGTCTGCTTATTGATGAAAAACATGGAATTCTGATGGTTCTTATTTGTACGTATAAAGTTTATTCTGAGCTGAATATATTCCACAACATATCATTACACAGGTTGAAATGAGGCAATTTCCGGAGCATTTAATATCGCGTTGGAGATCGGCATAGATTTGCATATCACATGAGTAGTTCTTCAAATCAAACAGACTTATTTTTGAATAAATTTGTTTTACGAACTTCGATGAATGTTAATGTTTCTCCTTAGACGCTTGATTTCGAGGGTGACCGATGTACGCAGTTAATTTGATCTCCTCATTCAGTTCCGTGTACTATTGCGAGTACTTCGATGGCTACAACGCATCCGTGTATATACAGGGAAGATTTGCAAAGTGTACAAAGTTGTCAGAGATGTCTTGCTCAAGAAGTGTTTAGGAGTAGAACACTCCACAGGTACACTGGTATACAGTCCTTAAAAAAGCGTAACCTCTTGTGTCATTATTGAGCATAGGTACTTTCACTTCTTTTATTTCTTTGTTTTTCTATTTAAGAATGCAAAGCAGGTACTATTTGCCCCAAGTATTGGAGCCTACGCTATTTCACACATGTTACACGTTTTTCGTATTCAACAAAACTTTCGGTGCAGAAAAAAATCAAGACATATTTATTAGTCTAACTATAATCACTACAAAAACTCGATTCAACTCGAGTTAATTAGGTATATGGAGAATCTACGATTGTACAGTTCGTCTCTTATACTTTAAACAGAAGTCTCTTCTTAAATGTTAACATGCAAGCTGATGAAAAACAAGCGCATAAAGTTCTATGATCTCATTAGACTTGATGTGTAAAGAATTAAGAATTGCACAATTGTACAGTTATATTATAACTATAACAGATATGGAATGAGACATTCGGATAGTGTGGGATTGTTATGTGCAGTATAAATGGAATTCCGAGCAGATTTCGAATATGTTGATCCAGAACAATGCCAATGACGACAAAAGAGTAAGACACCGAATCAGTGAGAATGTGAAGAGCGTCTGCTACACGGAACGATGAATACATCAAATATACGTGCGGAATACGATTCGGAATGTGCTACAACCGATTCCTTGAAGGTGTTGAGGAGCTAAAAAACATTTCAAGGAAGGAAAAAAACGAAATCAAAACGCTACCTACAAATCAAAGACATCTAGGTATTAAACGGAGAAAAGCAAAAAGGCAATCATGGTGTCACGAATATAAGCAGTAGACTGCATATCTATAGGCACATTTTGTAAGGGCATTCTTTCAGCACACTGGAATGCTCGATGCGAGCCTGCGCTGTGAACATATTACACGAAAAAGTTCTCTAGATGCAGGTGCTCAGTAGTATAAAGAAAGAAAATTGAAGACCGATAGTAAAGAAGGAAAGATACACGAAAGAAGAAAAAAAGGAAATAGACGAATTTAAGGCGACATGACGGTGCTGACAAGACAAGAATGTAGCAGATCTCATAGGAATTACACGTGAATTAAAGCTAATTTAGGCATCGATAAGAACTTCGTAGAAACTTACCTAAGATGACAAATCATGTGTGTCACATTAATGAAGAGATAAATAGTCAAACGTAAAATTAACACTTAGATAGCACAACAATAATAGTCATAGATTTTTGAACAGTTGAGCAAATGACATGTCTCCTAGGAATATAAATAAATCTATGGTAATTGTATTTATCACGATTTTCTCCAGAAAAGAAAAGATGAGATACACATTCGGCTAAACATTCTAAAGTACTGGAATATTCACCAGAATAAGCTGATATGAGAACTGTCGAGTGTTAAAGAAAAGTTCCGCTCATCTAACTACTTCCGTATGGTCGCTGCTCTATGGGTGCATTCTGGAGCATTACGTCTAACCAATCCATATTCTAGAAATATTTAATTAATGAACCATTTAGATACGATGGAAATTTCTCATCTCACTTATTTATTCCACCTAGACTAACAGTGAAAAATCAAGTCGGTGGGAGGTAACTTGAAAAGTAGAGACAAATTACTGGTAATCCGCATCTACCAATTATATCATAAATAACATACGAGTAAAAAATTATTTGATAAAATTTGCATCCGATTTAAGGGAACCTGTTTTAGCTCCTCTTTTAAAATTTACACTGTTTTTGCTAGGATTTGTGAATGATTTATTATGCATAGTATCCAACATTATTCTCAAACGTCTGACATTTTACTCATCGATATGTAGATGGGAGAAGTTGCTCAATACTTTTAATGAATAGAAACAATTAATGAGAAATTTGATGGTCAATATGATAAAAGAACTTGTAATTTGTTGGTGATAAGGCAGGTTGTGAGCCGAGTTAGCAGTGTAGCGCAGTGGTGGTGATGCGGTTAAACCCACATAGACCAACCTGCGCAATCGTTGCCTTGACTTAGGCTGGTGCCAAGTAAGCTTCTCGTATCCCTCGACATCAGGAAAATTTGTACCAAACGTGTCTAGAACGGGATTTCTCTCCCTAATCTGTGTGAGACATCCCAACGCAGCTATCTTAGGATTCTAGAGAGAATTGATTCGACCAGCAATCAATGAGGTTCATAAAGACGACAATCCTCTAGAATCAGCCGAATCCTTACGCAGATAGTTCAAAAACCCTCGTGGATTTTCCGGGATATGTGCTTTCATAGTAATACACATTATTGTTAACCCTGAATGTTCGACTTATGTTAATCCATATTTCAATGACATTCTCGTACCTGATCTCCAACACCAACTTCCGAGTGTGACTGCATACACATGGGATCTGTGCTTCGACCACCAACTCCCTACAACCACGTGTGAAACTGCACTCAAATTTTTTTAAAGTGACTGCAGTTAATATACTAGTAATACAAACAACTGAGTTGATTAAGCCATAGGGTACACCTGGGCAGAGAATAGACTTAAGAGTTACTGTGAAAGCTTTAGTTTAGCTGAGAAAGCTAGCCAAAAAGCTTATTCTTTCAGTTTTAACTACTCAAAGAATCCTAAATAAGTATTAAAAATCTCACATCATGTGATTCACTTTCGTATGGAGCATACTGTCCATTATTCGCAATACTACGATCAGCACAATCCAGCCAGTCCTCTCCAAGAAGATCAGCCAACTCTTCACTACCATAACCAACTCCGAGATCCATTTGGAACGAACCTGGTTTCATACCACCATCTGTGAGAAAAAGGATTAATTCCAATATGGAAATACTTGAAAAAAAAGAACCGAAACGATAAAATGACACCTTGGTCATCTCGGAGCACCGCCATTAAGTCTTCAATGTCTTGAGAATATCCAACATGGTGTGTTTGCTAAAAATGAGTTTTTTCTTTACAAATAAGCTTAAAATTAACCAGTGGAGATACGTGCATGGTTGATAGACGTGGAGACATAGTAAGTTGTTTTAAAGAAATTTCCTGTAAGGAATACAAAGAAGTTAATGAAACGGAAAGAAAAATTGGACAGTATTGATTGTGTCCAGATTTTTCTTCCTAATAGCTTCAATGGATGTATGGCACCTGGTCACAGTTCTGGGCACTGTTCAACATGACTGTTGGTTGCTGCACAATGTTAGATTCAGCGTTCATCATGGCATGGGAAACATCTTGCTGAGGTTGATCGGTGTTTTGTATAAGTGAGCCCTCCATTTCCATCTCGGAAAGCTGTACCTAAAATTCTACCCTTCAAGCTTCTGCACCGTTTGGTTCTTCAAAATAAACTCCATGCAGAGGTTCAAATCACGAAGCGAAATATCTACACCGAAATATACTAGGAAACAATATTGCCATGAAAATTTTGAACAGCTTTCTAAAATCTCTAAAATACGAAGTTTTGTTCTGAAATTACGAAATGAGACATTATACATTCTAAGCATTCTCGTACACATAGTTTTTAGAATAGTTCTTCATTCAGAACTCGATCATCTCCAATATCTTCGATGAAGATCAGATTATTGTTTAAATTAAATACAACTTCTGAATTCGGATGGTAACTTTTTTGTTGGCAATTCTTTAGAAAACTTTGTCACATTCTCTTGAAATTCGATCTTACACAGGAAGAAGAATGAAAACAGCCTATTAACCATTGATCAGCTTTCCAGTCAGAGGTTAAAAAATTCTAGAAGATTTTCAAAAATCGTCCACGTGTTGTGAGGCTACTGAAAACGAAAGAATGTAGTTGGAAACATACTGGTTGTTGCCATTGTTGACATATCACCATCGTCTGCTGTGATTGCTCTGCGTTATTAGTCATACTGCAGTCCACACTCTAAAGTGTGTAATGGTATCGATATCACTATGGTTGGATCATACTTCCCGTATCCTCTCAATTACACTTAATAAGTTTTTTTCAGATGAGTCCTCTATGAATAGCAAATATGTTAAAGTTGCTGTACTCTGAATAATGTGTACAGTGATCGACATGGACAGATAATCAATGTCTATAGTTCACACTGTATCGTATAGCGTTTCTAAAAACTTTTAGTGGGGAAAGCTAGAAATATGCACTTCACCTGTGCTGCAGTGACATCATTATTGATAGCTCGCGAAGCATCCTCAAGTACACTTTTAAAGATCTCTTCCATGTCAACGGATTGTGATTTTTCTTCTTGAACGACATTACTGAACGTTGCAGCAATTGATTTACGGAAAAAAAAATTCATAGGACCATGTTGTCACTCACGTATTTTGTTGATAAACAATGATCCGATCATGATTCAACTGGATGCCAGACGCGTCATATATAACGACAGACTGAAAACTAGTGATTTTATTTTCTAGATTCTATACTATATAAGAAAGCAGTGAAACCCAGTGAATAAAGAATGAATGACCTGTTGATCGTTTTCAATAACATTTGCTTGCTGTTCGAAGTTATGCGATTCTACTTCACATGTATTTCTCGCCTGTGATTCACGTGCAGCTGATGCAGGTGAGTTGACCTGTGACAGCTGTAAATCAACTATTTCCTTAGACGCACATTTCCATTATATCGCGAAATTTTCCAGAAATTTACACCGTAACTTACTTTATCAGTATCGGGGGAACTGGCCTGCTGTTGCTCAGCCTAAATCAAGCTATGGATTATTACGAATTTAATTCGAACATTTCATAAGAATATGAATAACAAGGTGCAAATAAGAATGGTAGTATAAGTTGATTCGTATACCAAAGCTAGTTTAGAAAAAGCAATCTCAAGTTTTTGATTTTCAACATCTCAGCAGCTTTCTCAAATTTGTGTAAACTAACGACAGTGCTATAATAAACTCGGACAGGAAACAGTTTAATGCTGTTCCTCAGCTTTTCGAAGTCTCATATAGTCTTTTCGAACTAAAGCAACCACTCACATTCCTTTCCAACTGGTACCTTCTGAGTAGTTGAACGATAAGTAGTGCTGTTCTGGGGTCCTACAATGAAATAAAAAATTGCCATGTAGAGCTACAAGGAAAGATTAGCATGTTTCGATAATGTTCGTGCTTCACCTGTTTGATGAGTCGAACGATGTCTTGAACGGCTTGCTCGACGTGTAGTTCTTCCTGAAGACGAGCTTCGGTTGTCGTCAAGCGATTATGTTCCATTGAATGGCGCTAAGTTAACATGTTAGGTGATTTGCATAACGAGATCAGTATGCTATTTAGTTCAATTTGTCTTCAATTATTCTTGCTCATATTTCTCATTGCTTATCCGATATCACTGAACGTTTTCTAAAGGTCACAATTTCATGGCGAGGCGCTCAAAGCGCATTGATAATGGTCCCGTTCAGTCACAAGGCCCTTCGCGACCTGTCCAAACCAAAAACGCTCCCCATTTCTAAGAGGCCAGTGTATATTGTTATTGGAGTTGCACGGCACATATTCGCTTCCTCCAATCCACAAAAACTGGGAATTGCATGTGGTAAAGATCTGATAACGCCTTAGCACGATTATCCCAAAATTTTGGTAAGAATCGACTCGACCTACAGTGATACAAGAAGACTAAAAATCCTCAAGCAATAGCCGAACCCATATCAAAATTCAAAGACATTCGTAGATGGCAGATGTGATGAAACGAATTGAATGAATACGGTCGGTGTCTGATCGTGTAAAATGATATAAATGGACAAATATAATAAGTCAAGACCATCAGAATTCGGACCGCTAGAACCCGGCTGTTGTTTGGTTAGCTGACTAATCACAGGCGTCTTGTCCTCTTCAGTGAATCCTAGTTAAAAGGCCATAATACCAGGCGATTGCCCTTGGTGGAAACATGAACACGATCTTTGGGTTTTTATAAAAGCTGGGCTCAACGAACATTCAATATATCAGTGTGATATAAACACCACCGATATTCAAATGCAGCGGAACCCATGCATGTGTCTGACCAATTTTATTATTAGCCGTCCCAAAAGTACGAAACGAATGGAAAAGATGTTCGATATTGTATGAATGCACGCCATACAAAGACAAGTCCTCTGATTTTCTTAGTAATTAGGTAAGTGAAATAGACCAATAACGCCTGTAACATTTATAATAGTACTAATAATAGCACTTTTAAGCTAACGCCTTTTTATACGTGAACTATAACACCCGTAATCTCGCTAATCATCCAGGAAATGGAGAGGGTAAAGTAAATTTCACTTGTATCCGTGCCGAATTAGAGTTGGTCCGTCGGTGAGCTACGCTAGCTCAAGAAACATAAGAGCACCAAACTTTTGGTATTTCGTCTCTTCACCGTTTTCGCCTGAAAGGTAGCTACGGGTAGGTAAGCGGCCTCTGCTATGGCATAGGTTAGCTGTTATCTGTGTTTTCAGATGGAAGGACATCAATTAAATCACACTTCCAAATAAAACCTGTTACACAGTATCGTTCAAATATAAAACTGCACCGTTTTATTACGTCTATATAGGTTGCGAAGCTCTTCTAGTTTGCTAGCAATTTGGAGCACAAGCATTGTTAAGTGTGTAACACGAGGAAGCAGAACTTCAAGAGATTATAACTGTGACGGAGCAAGCCATAATACGTTTCAAAAATTTGCTTCTCGTTAAGATTCCTTCCTCTTCATCTTCACTGGCACTTGCTAAGAAGAACGTTTTATTTCATACTTTTCAAAATTGAAGCACTTAAAAGCGTTGATAGACACAAGAAAAACCAAATAGATATTTGCAGTCGCCCTTTCCTTACCTGAAGAGTGGCCTGTTGTTTTTTGTGTTGCAAGAAGTGCTGTATGTGTTGTTTATTAATGTGGCCGACGTCAAGTTCTCTCAACCACTGTTCTCGTTCTCGATTTGTAGCATTTTCCCGTTGCCGCTCACGAATACGCTGCTGAAGAGGAATATGCCTATGCTAGAGCAAAAATGATTACGGATCTATTTGTAATGGATTTCACAACAGCATTTCGCAACAAATATGTATTGACAACGCAGCTGTTTTAATAGATTTTAAAGTTTCTTTCTTGACCATTTCCCATGTAATTCTTTTTTCTAACATTTAATTTACGATGATTTCAGGACGGTAGAAGTAATGCCATCAAGTGACGAAACTTGCACTGTTTTGCTGGACGTGTTCGACCACGGACATAGAAAAGGAAACAACTTGAAATAATATTGAAATACGGACCAAGGAAGGGCTGGCGAACACATAATGTACAAATGCTTCATAAAGATTCACGATTAAGATATCGATCTTCAAGATGAAGAACCTCGCAGACGCCTATCAGTAACTGACGAAGACAATCTGAAGGCGATCATAGAAGTTGGCCTTTCAGAAAATACTCAAGAGACTAAAAGAAAACTTATGCGCCATTTTGCGACCATTGCTCGTCATATGGAGAGTATGAAAAAGTGGAAAACTTGACAAATGGGTGTCGCATGAACAATGAGAATGGGATCAGAGTCGTGAACTTCGCTCTACGCTTCTTTTATACTAGAAAATCGTCCATTTCTATATGCCATGTTGCTGTCCAACAAAAATCAGTTCCAACGACGCTTTGCCCAGAAATTGGACCGAAAAGAGGTTCTGAAGCATTCTCCAAATTTATTTTTGGAAAGTTGCAACCGTAATTAAGCAAAATGCGAAGTCTTCTTCATGCTAGAAAGCACTCTAACATACATTGTACACCTAACTCTGTAAAGGTGAGAAAAGTTAAGCTATGAAATCGTATGACACACTCATCGAATCTCTGAAGTAGTTTTGCAACTACAAGCAAGGATAACTCCCTAGAACCAAGCCGTTGAAGAAAATCTTTTTTAAAAAAAAGCTTTTGTAAGACACTATAAACGTGATCAGTTAGAGTATTACGTTCGAGAAGAATCATGCACTGATTAGTGATTAAGAGAAAGACGAGAAAAAACTCACTTGTGCTTTTTTTGCAGTGAGTATAAGTTGTTGTTCTCGTTTTAAGTGTGCTTGACTTTTCGCCAGTTCTTCTAGCAACATTTCGATCTTCTTTTGCTGCGCGCGCAACATTTCCTCATGCATGGATAAAGCGGCAGGTGTCAAGCTGAAAATTGTAGTTTCAATCCATAAATGATCAAAAAATGCGGTGTTACAGTACAGAAATGAAGACTACTGCTCTACGTACATCGAAGATGGATCATCAAACGTAATAGGATTTTCAATTGTACCATCTCCCGTCTCAGCAACTGTTTCCGACTGGCCACTGTTCGGCATATGAGGAGAATCACCGGCAAGATCAGCAGTACGCGGACTATCTTGCACGCTGTGAAAACAGTAATTTTAATCGATAATCGATAATCGATAGAAATAGCTGAGAGACGTGCGAAACAAAGGACCCGCATGGTGTGGTAGTGAACGCGTTACTCCCCGGAAAGGACAATAGCGCGTTCGTTCCCCACCATAGACACCTGCGGTCCAGAGTCTTGCAAATATCTCAGCAACGTTGTGGTTGTATTCCGCTTAGTAACCTGCCATGAAAATTATAGAAGGCAGAAAACAAAACGTTAAAACATAGTAATTTTAATTTTAACAAAAAGTAGACATCGAAACATGTGGTTAAAAAATTACCAAGGATTCATGCCTTCACATGCGAAACCATTTTGAGCAACTGCAGTTTGATACGAATTCTGGAACCAATTATACTAAATAATAGTGGTCTTTTGTTGTACAATACCTCATAATGGTTAGATAGTATTCGCGGGTGTCAATCTACAATTTATAACAAAGATATATTATCCAAAGCTCTTACTCTCAATTTGACAGCGAATTCTAAATTTTACACCACAATCATGAACCCTCCTCTCAATGATTTACCGCCTCAACGTGGCCGGGAGGTGTTCCTGGGTGTCCGGTTGCGATGTACAGCGGGCGATTCATCCATCCAGCAGAGTATCCCAAGGTGAAAAAGAGTCCGGATTTTCCATCAGGAAGCCTAGCTAAGAGTAAACCAATGCCAGGATCCACCACCGACCGGGTATCAAACCGGTCACATAATGGCAAATCTACCTCCGGTGCACAACGGCGGTGACTGTCAGTGGTGGTGATGACCTGGGGCAGACTTTGGCACGGCTGTCCTCGGAGCTCCAGGAAACCACAATGGCTAAGCCGGCAAAATTCCAAAAAGATGGAATTTATGCTAGAACCCGCACAACCAATGAAGATGGGCCATTAAAGTATCTAAGTAAGTAACCATGAAACCCCACCACAAAAAAACCTATGTGAGGAATCGCCACCAAACTAGTGGAACTCTAGTCGCAAGGTAGAAGACTACAAAGTTTCCTCTGATCCACATATGCCGACCACAACCTATAATGTCACCGTTTTTGGGATTTAAAAAAAAGTATTGTTGATGACAGAAGATTATGCCTGGACATCAAAATAAACCATTTAAAACAACACGTTTAGGAAACGCCACGAGAACGTTTCTTTCCCAGTGCGTACAACAGCACACCTTTCTTCCGAAGGCGATATTCACGCGTTGTCAGAGATCGCAGATTACATCAAGTTTCTTGGACAGCTTTTCAGGAACTTAAAAGCAATAATATCGACATACTTCGGTAAAGTGCGGCGTAGATTTTGAACACACCAATCAGTTCGCAATCATGTAAACTCACACGGAACTCAGTGATAATGCGTGGTTGTTCTGCGTTTTCAGCCTCAGCGTCAAAGAAGCCATTACAATGGTTAACTGTTCACTCAATAAGTTGTGAAGCTTTTGAGACCAAATTAGACGTGTTCTATGATCAACTGAGTCAACTGAGTAAAGTAGTACCTTCAATAAGCTTTTACAACGATGTTGAAAAGTGATCATATCTTCGGAAACAGAAGGCCCTGTCTTCTTTTTACCTCTATTGCGTCATTTTTACACACTAGACCCGATGACAGCCACTAAGCCAAAAATTCAGTCTTGGGAAAAATTGGTACAAAATCGTAAGAAAGAGAAGACAAATTAATATTGTAACTATAACATATAGTCGAGATCGTTCCTCATATGGGCGGTAAACCGGTGCATCTCACTCGGCTCCCCAACACCATCGCTGCACCTTGAAAAGGAAATTGGAATTAGGTAAGATTTCAAAGCATTTAGCACGCTTGATAATAAATATCAACAGGAGAGAGTTCTCACAGAAAGGTATGTGACGGTATAGATAGAGGATCCATTATAGACAGCTAAGAAAAGGAAGCAGTCTAAAGAAATGCGGCTGAGACATGGTGTTCCGCAGCCAACCCAGTTGAATGAAGACTAATTTCTAGTTATATCAGAATACTTTTCGCTCTATAATTCGCTCCAGACCTTAACTTAAGTGCTTAAGAAGAAAAAACCGGAAAAACATAGCAAGTTCGCCCTCCTTGATTTGAAAACCAGAATTATATCATAAAGGCAAGTCATATGACAACATGGCTTCAAAAAGAGCGGGTCCTCAACAAGTGAAGGACCCCGCGCACGGTCTTGCCATTGAAGAAAGACGACCAATGGGAAAACCGCAACTACTTTCCAATTTGTGCAATGGATGTGTCCGGATTTTTCCCACGAAGAATGTACATGCAATCGTAAATGCCATAAAATTGATACTGGAGTCAAGTAGTTAATTAAAAAGAATTCTTGCAAAAATTCTGTTTCATGGACCACATCCAAAACATAATTTGGTTAAATAAATCCGCCATTAGTGCCAACTATACTTACCATAACTTGTCGACTAGAAAAGATGTTAGAGAACATCGAAACGAATAGGATTCCATCATTTCTCGTCGACTAGTGTAAGCTCGTACTGTACAAGAACACAGACAAAACTGCTAGGAGAATTGCACGAAAGTGAAGCTATTGGCTAACCATGCAAATAACAAAGTGGATCCAACAGGCTAACATCATCTCATCAAAGCTGCTCAGCGCCACTATGCTGAAGAAAACGATGTCGCTCGATCAGGAAGAAAAGGTCATATGCACAGATAGGAAATTGCTATTTCATTTTAAGTTTAGGTAATCTTTCCGGAAAGTACAAGTGAAGCGTAGGGTATAACCGAAAACTCAATGAAACGAGAAAAGTGAAAAGACTTCGCATAAACCAAAGCGAAACACAACACAATCCAGTATGACAGAAAACAAAACGAAATGTTTGGTTCTCTGATTATAAGCTTCCTAGATGTATTTAGGGTGTTCAGTGAACGTAAAAAAGGAGGAAGTACGCAGAAGAAAGACAGGAATATTAGCTGTGTTCGGATTTTTAGAGCAGGTAGTGATAAGTTGATGGAATGAAAACTACACACAGCAATTTTCTTCGTATTTTTGTTGAGCAAACGCGAGGTGTTATTATTCTTTGTTCACGGTTAAGTTGACGTTTCGGCGGATTTCGCCTTCCTCAGAGCCTGGAAGGGTCAAGTTGATAGCAATCTACTCGGCCAGACGCCTCCATAACCAAACAAAGAAACTCCAAACCAAGATTTCAATCACTTTGAACACAGCTTTGCACACTCACCGATTCCTATAAGGTTTCCACTAAGTATGTCACGTAGAGACCAACCGCACAGAAATCACATGGAAGTATAATGTGCCCCTCACATCAGAAAAGCAGTTTTATATACTGCCCTATATCACGCGTGATAATGAGGCATTCTTCCCTGCGGCTCATTTTCGGATTTCTGGAATTAATCCAGAGTGCCTCGAGAGTTTTTCGCGCCTGTGTTCTTGATTCGCGTGCGAGGAACGTGACACATACTTCGAAGTCGTCCCCGTTATGTCTCTGGGTCCTATGCGTGCCTAGCGGAGTATTTGGTCTATTAAACCATCAGTTATCTCTCAACTTAAAGTTGACTTACCAACATGCCCCGTCTTGTAGTTACTTATAAAAACTCATAAGTTAGTATCCAGCGATGATCTTGCGTCTAACGATCCATCACTATTTAAGGTTAGACCTATCATTAGCTGCGTAGACGGGCCAACGGACAGGATAATGGTTTTTAACCCTAATATTTAACCTGTTGTTGAAACACATTCCAGCCCATCTTACGAATACCCAGATGTTTCTGGATCGTCTACGTACTGCGCAGCCCAACAGCGCGTGCGTGATGGAGTCCTTCGACGTTACCGCCCTTTATACAAACGTGTTGAATGACTCCGCAATGCAAGCCATATTCGAACTCCTTACACAACACGAAGAAGAAATAAACATGTATGGCTTCAGGATAGAGCACCTGATGGCACTCTTAAAGGAATGCTTGAGCTGCTCAATCTTCAGATGGTCTGGAAAGTACTACGCTCAAATAAGAAGGTTGGCAATGGGACAACGACTAGCTCCAAGCCTTGCCATTGCATTTATGTCTAAGGTGGAAGCACCGGTGACTGATCTC